AAAAAAAAAAAAAAGAAAAAAAAACAGTGAGAATGATGAACGAGCGAGTGTATGTGAGTGCGTGAGATTAAAAAAAGTAGCGCCGTCTGTTTTTTCCTCGGCGTTTTTTCGAAGATTTCTTTCTTCGAGTAATACAATTATCGCTATCACATTATTAAGTGTAACTATATGGTTAAACATTACAATGGAAAGTTGTTGGCTGAATTGCGAGTTTTTATTATAATATCGTTCCGATAAAATCGACGCTGGTACCTTGGAAATTTCACTCGAATTTTTTTGAATCGTGTTGCATCGTTGATCGATGTATCGCAAAATATTAAAACGTTCATTCGCACGATTCTTTACGATGATACGATTTGACAGAGTCTCGATGAAATTCGATAACGGGTACCACCGTTATTCTTTACTTCACAATGTGACGTCCGCAAAACGAGACGACTACGATGGGAAAGAAATGCGAGAAAAATAGAGACAGAGTGACGGAAAGAAGAATCTTTTTCAGAATGCAAATTGTAATACGCGTATCGCTTATTGACGTTTTCATTATTGCATCTGCATCCGCACGATTAATTTATAAATAAATTATATTAAATAAGACACTGAATTGCGAGCGTCTGCTTTCTTTATGTCCTTCATAATGTCTAAAATAAGTCGATTAAAATAATAATTTAAATAATAGCTTAAAATAGTAAGTAGTTATTTTGTAATATTTTGTTACGTATCTCATTTATTAGTATCGTAATATACAGATCTGATGTACAATTCTCCTTTTTTTTTTTTTTCCGTGGAGGAAATCTTCATAAGACATCTGAGTCTTTTAAAGGAAGACCCAGGTAGTGTCGGATTTTTACCGACTAAAACCTCCACGATGGCCGTCCTCCGCACGTTCGGAGAGCTCCGGGACCTTTTTATACACACAGAGCTCTCCTGTGCTGTTGTCCTAAAGAACAATGTCTTTTTCTTTTCTTTTTCGCCTGAACAGGGGCTCGAACCCTGGACCCTCAGATTAAGAGTCTGCTGCTGCTCTACCGACTGAGCTATCCCCACCTCCCTTTTTTTTTGTTACATAATCCAACCGTGGATCAAAATTTTTATGTGGCCAATTATCAAGGAATAATTATAATGCCACAAACGAGGTATATGGATAGACCTAATATATTTTTTTATCTGACGCTCATAGGATCCTAAAAACTCATTACATATCATTTTCCTATCACATTCTATCGTACTGATTTAAACAAGTTTTGTATTGCAGCGCTCCTAGTGATCAGAATTAAAATCAAAAAATGCGGACAGCGTTGCCACATCTGCACCGAGAATTATTTATTTAATTAAACGTATATTTGATTATTTATATCTATTTGAAAGTATCAGAAAAGATATGAATTACATAATTAGATATGAATTAGATATATTAGTATGTCGATTTTATGAAAGATTGGGCCCATTTGAAAAATGTTTTTATAAATAATTAAACTAACGAAATAAACAGGATTGTTCATATATTTTAAATATTTGATCAAACTCATTGGAAAAATTATACATGAATGCTCCAAAGATAGTTATTCTACTAAAATTCTGGAGTAAATACCATGCTGTCCATTATAATCATCTTACCATTATAATTTTCAGCTATTCTAAAATACTTAATTCAGTATTGAGAAATACTTTATCATTTACAACTAATATCTTTAATACATATTCAAGTTTCTTCATAATTATTTTCTAAAAAAATAGTAACATTTTCTAAATGAACATCCTCTCCCTATTAATCTATTTTATTTTCAAAAAATTTTTAAAACAAATTAACTTAATATTAATTGAATTAACTGTGTGCGGTTATAAAGTTGTTGCGCAGTATTTTAATATTTTTCTAACGATAAGCAAAATGGCTGTCATTAAATTATAATATTAATTTATTTAAATTCATGAAGTTAGAATCAGTAAGTCCGCCGATTATTATTTAAACGTGCGCGTTGATAGTTTTTTTCTTTTTCTTACGTTCAATCTTCGTTTTAGAGTCAATGCTCAAGAGGATAAGGCCTCCTCAGGAAATCAAGATCGTAAGTAATTTTATATATTATGGTAATTTATTCAATTTTTCAAACTTAAAACTCTTTGTAATAAAATAATGGAATGATTTCATTTAGTTACTAGCTTCATATTTCGATATTGAAAATTGACAACACTGTAATGAATTTCAAAAATCATATTTCTGGCGCGTTTACTACTTGATCAACGTCGATCATTTCACTTGACGTAGTTCTCCAACTCACCGTTGTTGAAGCGTAGAGTGAGCTAAAAAAACCAATGTTTTTTTTGCTATGTCGGTATTTCAGATCATGGAACACGAAGTCCCGTAAAATGCAACGTTCGTTTATGCATCTCGTCTGTGTTTGCACGTACCTTGTTGTTAGAAAGTCTGTAAGAGTACGTATCTTTTAAATTTCGAGAAATAGTGAAAATAATGACAAGCAGTTAACAGAACAAAGTCATAGTCAAGTAATGCAACGTACTTCTCAAAGATCGTCGTGAATGGCAGGCAAACGTGTATTCATATACCTTGTCTGTGATACAAGTAGCTCTGATTGTCGGAAAAATCCCAAGTGTTTGCAACGATTCGATGCAGCAAAGCGCCTTTTTTTCTAAACAAACGCATTCTCCCGTACACACGGGAAAACAGGACTCTAGCAATTTCTTTTGTGAAAGAATTATCACCGAGAGTGCAGTTTTTTGACGAGACAGCTGAGCGGAAGTAGAGGTCGCAATACGGTCGCGATAAAACTCAATAGATATCGCTATTACAAATCATGTGATCAGCACTACATTCAATACGCTTGCGCGACCTTCGTGCAAGGTGACCGTTTCGAGGATTGGTACAGCACGCGTGTTATTCGCTTGTAAGTAGCGTACGCATACGGTTATCTGTGACATCGAGGTACGTGTGTACGTCGTGAAAACCGGTCATTGCGCCCGTCAATCTCTTTCGCAGTAGAAATATTACGCTGCGTTTTGTATCGTCCGTGAACGATATAGCTGCAGAATTCAATTCAACGTTCGCGTACGCCGTTGGAAAAGAAGATTTCGCAGGGAAATCTTCACGAATGAAAGATAATTGAACGCTTGCAGAAACAGAAGAAGAAGTTGAATTAAATCTGAAGTGTTGGAATGCAAAAGTTGATCTTATCTAACAAACATAAGAAATTCTAGATACGGCGGATTTTGTCTTGATAAGTATTCTGTTGTCGAAGGAAGAGAGAAATAAACGGGAAGATGTCAGCATCAGATGTCGACGAAGAAAAGAGGAAACAAATCTCCGTACGCGGGATTGTTGATGTAGAGAACGTCGCGAACTTCAAGAAAACATTTAATAGACATCTACACTACACTCTCGTGAAAGATCGTAATGTGGCCACGAGCAGGGATTATTTCTTCGCTTTGGCACACAGCGTCAAGGACAACTTGGTCTCTAGATGGATACGCACCCAGCAATACTATTACGAGAAAGACCCAAAAGTATGCCTTTAAGTTATTAAATCTTTCTGTAACTTTATGCACGATAATTATAATTGTCATAATCAAGCCTTAGTATCATGGTGTAACACTAATGTTACACGAATTGAAATTATATTGCCCCTTTTATATTACAAAGAGATATTTTTCTAGTTTCACCAAAAGTGTAAAATTCGTAAAACTTTTCGATGTTTTATATATAGAGATCTTTTAATTTGCAATAAAAAGAAGTTTTATTTTGACTGCAATTAATTTTTTTTCTTTCGCTTTACGTCGTGAATATAATTTATTATTGTGGTGAAATAAAAAAATTATGATGCTAAAGTTTAATAATAAATCGGGTTTCTTTTTTAGTGATTGTCGTATGAATAAGTATTATTACAACAAACAGTATTTATTTATACACGTGTAGCGTACAGTTAATCTATTAATATATTTTGTATTTTTATATAATCTTTTTAATAATCATTTTGATCGTGTGATACGTATATAAAAATATAAGATTGGATTTAAATTACAATTTCTGTATTGTTTTGTTTCATTACATAAAATTTTCATATGTACGATATAATTTTCAATATAAGAAAAATTTTAATACAAAAGATTCTTCTTCAAGGAAAACTTGTTTTAAGTTAAGAATTATCCAAAAACATATTACAAGGTTGACGATCTAATTAAGCATGTACGTATCTTTTATGGCATCGTGCGTTAAACATTTTTCGATTTCTGATTGATAATGAAATGTTTGTATTATCTTATCGGTTAATAATACCCGGTTGGTTCATAATTTCAATGTAAAAATATATTGAATACAATTTTGATTGATTACAATTAACCTGATAAGTAAATGATTACACTACTTAGTTATCAATGGAGTGTAGTTTAAAACTCTTCTGAATTTAGTCAAATGAAAATTGAAACAAACGTGAAACGAATAATATCTATTCATAATAGAAAGATATATATTCCAATATAATGGATAATGGAATTTTTAAACGAAATGAAGAAATGGTATGAGATTAGTACACTTACGTATGCATATTATTTATAGCTATACAGTTATAGTCTATAGTGACATGAACTTTTGAAATGTAAAATGCAACACGTTGCAGCATCTATTTTCAGTTGGCCTTACAATCACCTCACCCTGAAGTCTTAAGCCAAACGATGTTTGTTTCTCGAAGCAATGTCATGATGATTGTCAATCTTTGAATGCATTCCAATTATATCGATGGATTATTATTAATAATTGTTTACAAGTTTATAAGACGTTGTTATATACATATATATTGAACAATAATTGATTATTATTAATCATAAATGTATTGTTGATAAACGAATGAAAACAATTATCCAGAACGTATAATTTTAATTTTTTAAAGAAATAATAATTTAAGTGATTTCTAGATTGTTTCACGATTAACTGGTTACAAGTGTAGATGTCGCCAAATATAAATTTTCTTGGAAATATTTCTTTAGGTAATTACGTCTTTTGTATATTTAGAATAGTTGTATAAATAAAGAGACGAGGGAAAGAGAAAGAAATTGAAGGGGCAAACTATAAATTTGGAAAATAGCAGAAGAAAAATAAAGACAGAACTTATAATAAGACGAAGCTTAAATAAGATGTTTTACGAGGTTTACTTTAGAGAGAAGAAAAGGAAAACCTTAGAATAGATGTTTCCAACGTGTGGGTCGTTAGCCATTAATTTTTGATTTTCATTTAGTTTCACGAAATTTTTGATTTTTGACGGATCACGAAAAATTTCAAAATATAAGAGTAAATGATACATATCCGTTTAAAATATTTTTAAGAATATTAGGAATACATCTTTAATTATATACATATATTACAAGCAAGTAAGTGGGGAAAAAATATTATTTTCAAAAGTGAGTCTCGATTGATAAAATTTTGAAAACCACGACCCTAAAATGTATAGATATAAAGTAATAAAAGAGAAGAAACATGATAGAACTTAGGTAATTGAGTAAGGGAAAAAGATGACTAAAGAAAAAAAAAAATGAGGGAGGAAAGCAAACAAAGAGAGGAGATTGCAGAAAAGAGACATAAAACCAAAAAATGGTCCACACCCATAAACTGGATAGGAGTGGGCGGACAGGAATAAAATATAGTACAGATGGATCGTATATTAAAAGTCACTGTTATCCTTCTAGATAGTATATCCCCTACTCAAGTATAGATCACTAGAATTCTAAATAAAAAGACGAATTGATGCTGTTAATAACGAAAATTAGTTTCTAATATAATTTATATATTGTTAAAAGAAATTAAAAGGAGTAAATATAAAATAAGTCGTCGCAAATAGCGTTAATCATAACAAATTGTAGAAATTGGTTGAACAACACATCACGTGACGCCACTAACCTAAACCGGGAAGTCACGTTTAACACATTAACTACCGGGTAGAAGTTTGGACACGATCCCATTATATTATGCAGAGGTTTCGAAAATCCATGCTGTCTGTGCATGCTGTCATCTTTCAGTAGCTATATTTTAGAAGGGTGTATATATAGACTACAATTGAGTAATTGAGTAATTCAGAATTTAAGACAATGAATCGAATTTCATTAAGGCAGGAAAACATTATACAGTAGTGCTTATATTTAACAGTTAGGAAATTCAAAAGCATTTTAACATTGTTCTTATTGCTATAGGCAATGAGTCAGACTTCATTAAAAAAAGGAGATATTATATAATAATATATGTATTTTTAAAATTTTCAAGTATTTTTTTTTTAAATTTTTATTACATTAAAGAGTACAAAAAATAATAACACCTTTGTAAAAAAGTATTATAGTTCTTGGTATACATTTACTTTGAATTATAGAGAAAAAGATGTATTTTGTGAAAATATTTTCATTAATATATAATGAACGTCACGAAGTATTTTGTGTTGAAAGTAGAAATGAAAAATATGTTAAAAAATATTGTAACTTAAAGATTTATTACGCGCACCTTTCATCCACGAATTACTTTTTTTATTAATTAGAAAATTGATTAGTTTGTTGCTACATATATTTAAAAATTTACTTTTATTATTTTTTCAAATTTTTTGTTTCGTATAATCGTTTTGTTTCTACGAATATCAAATTTTTTTTTACATTTTTAGCCATCTCGGTTATAAATAAACGATCCCCTAACAAACACGTGAAGAAATTAAATTTTGGACTGTTGACCGTAATAAAAATCAATTTCAATTGGTGTCATCTTTCGGTTCCCTTTCGTTTCAAGACGTTGTCGTTTCGATTTATTTTTATTTGTTAGCCCAATTGCTGTGTAATACAAGATTTATATTAATCTGTTTCATAATGGAAGCACAAAGGACGCAATAAGATTGAATTTACTGATCACTATTGCGTCACGAGGTCGATCACATTTTTATTTTATGAAATTATAGTTCAATGCTTCCTACAGTTCATGGTTCGTTAAAAAAATATGCAACATAGTTATATAAGAGATAATATTTTTTCTTCCATTTTTTAAAACTATATATATATATGTATCTTTTGTTTTTGAATAAATTATCTCTTATTTTTTGAAAGTTAATGCGCTATTAAAATTATTGAAGTATTCTAATTTACTTCTATCTTTATTTTTAGAGGGTTTACTATCTTTCCTTGGAATTCTATATGGGAAGAACTCTTCAAAATACTATGATTAATTTAGGCATCCAAGGTGCTTGTGATGAAGCTATGTATCAGGTCTGTTTGGGATAAAATTTCTGTATCGACAGATTTTTAGAAAATGAAATTTAAGAAAATATTTTATTATAGATGGGCTTGGACATTGAAGAATTGGAAGAACTTGAAGAAGATGCAGGTCTAGGAAATGGAGGTTTAGGAAGATTAGCAGCTTGCTTTCTAGACAGTATGGCCACTCTTGGTCTTGCTGCTTATGGTTACGGAATTCGATATGAATATGGTATATTTACGCAGAAAATAAGAAATGGAGAACAGGTGGAAGAACCAGACGATTGGTTACGTTATGGAAATCCATGGGAGAAAGCTAGACCAGAATTTACGCTTCCAGTAAATTTCTTTGGTCGGGTGATTGATACTCCTGAAGGAAAGAAATGGGTTAATACGCAGGTTAGTATAAATAAAATAAATCTGTAGAGTTAAGTAGTTACAATTAGTGATGCAGCACTTGTATATTTTGCTTTTGGTCAGGTTGTATTCGCAATGCCATACGATAACCCAATTCCTGGATACAAAAACAATGTTGTTAATACTCTTAGATTATGGTCTGCCAAATCACCCGTAGAATTTAATTTGAAATTTTGTAAGCAATGTTTATATCATTTTATATATCATCAATTAAGCAGATTATTGTGGAAATAAGTTATTTTTCTTTTAGTCAACAATGGTGATTACATTCAAGCTGTAATCGACCGTAACTTGGCAGAGAACATTTCTAGAGTATTGTATCCTAATGATAATTTCTTTGAGGGTAAAGAATTGCGGTTGAAGCAAGAATATTTCATGGTAGCAGCTACTCTTCAGGATATCGTACGAAGGTTACTACATTTTGTTCATAAGGATTTAAGATTCACGTGCGCTGTAAATATAATATTTCAAATTATATTAAAAATAATTTCTTACAATATTATTTCTAGATATAAAGCTAGTAAATTTGGCTCAAGGGAACACCATAGAACAGATTTTGACTTGTTCCCCAATAAAGTGGCCATTCAGTTGAACGATACTCATCCTTCTTTAGCAATTCCTGAACTTATGAGAATCCTTGTCGATGTTGAAGGGCTTCCTTGGGAGAAAGCTTGGGACATCACAACAAGAACATGCGCTTATACTAATCATACAGTTCTTCCGGAAGCTTTAGAAAGATGGCCTACAAATATGTTGGAATATATTCTTCCTAGACACTTGCAGATCATTTATCATATTAATTTCGTTCATCTGCAACAAGTTTCCGCTAAATTTCCGGGAGACGTAGATCGTCTTCGTCGTATGTCTTTGATCGAGGAGGAAGGTGAAAAGAGAGTCAATATGGCTCATCTTTCAATCGTTGGTAGTCATGCTATTAACGGTGTTGCAGCGTTGCATTCAGAAATTTTGAAAGACAGCGTGTGAGTATTATTAAAATTTAAAATTTTTTGACAGTAGAACTTTATAATAGTTTTATAAATAATTTTAATTTTCTCATTATTTTAGATTTAAAGACTTTTATGAATTGACACCTGAAAAGTTCCAGAACAAAACTAATGGCATTACACCAAGAAGATGGCTTCTTTTGTGTAATCCAAATCTCTCAGATATCATCGAAGAAGTAAATAATTCAATCTTCATTTTAAAATATTTTTAATTAAAATTTTTAATTAAAATTTAATTAAAATTATAAATTATAATATCATTTATTTAAAATATTGTTCGCTATCATTTTAAAATATTGTTCATTACCGTATAGAAAATTGGCAGCGATTGGACAGTACATCTAGAACAGCTCGTTCAGTTAAAACAATGGGCTAAAGATCCAGTCTTCCAGCGCAGCGTTATGAAAGTGAAACAAGAAAATAAATTGAGATTGGCGCAAATACTTGAAAAAGATTATGGAGTTAAAGTGAACCCTGCCTCCATCTTCGATATTCAGGTAATTATATTAAGTTAATTAAATTGATGTTCAAATAAATTTAATATATAGTATCATGATGTAGGTGAAGCGAATACATGAATATAAAAGACAACTATTAAACTGTCTACACGTACTCGCATTATACAACAGAATAAAAAAGAATCCAAATGCACCATTCGTTCCTCGAACGGTGATGATTGGAGGAAAAGCAGCTCCTGGATATCATACAGCTAAAAAAATTATAAAGTTAATTTGTGCTGTAGGAGACGTTATAAACAATGATCCTATTGTTGGCGACAAATTGAAATTTATTTTCTTAGAGAATTATCGAGTCACCTTAGCGGAGAAAGTAATTCCAGCAGCAGATTTGAGCGAACAAATTTCCACAGCAGGCACTGAAGCCTCTGGCACTGGAAATATGAAGTTTATGGTAAGTATGTTTTATAAAATAATTTAATCAATAACAGCAAATCAATATACTTAAAATCAATATACTTTAAATGACTTTAGTTAAATGGAGCCTTGACAATTGGCACATTAGATGGTGCTAACGTAGAAATGGCTGAAGAAATGGAAAAAGAAAATATGTTCATTTTTGGTTTAACGGTCGATGAGGTGGAGGAATTGAAGAAAAAAGGCTATGACGCTCATAGTTATTACAATAGAATCCCCGAATTAAAGGAATGTATTGATCAAATCCAAAATGGTTACTTCAGCCTCTATAATGCAGATGAATATAAAACCATTTCTAATCTTCTACTACAATGGGATAGATTTCTTACGTTAGCTGATTACGAAAGCTATATAAAAATGCAAGATCATGTCGGTAAAGTTTATCAGGTACGTCTGTATGTTAAAGTTTTTTTCTCAGAATAATTTTTGTATATTTTTTAAATGATTGTTCTGTACATTTTCATTTTGTATTTTAGGATGAAAGCAAATGGGCAGAAATGGTGATCAATAATATAGCTTCCTCAGGAAAATTTTCATCAGACAGAACAATCGCAGAATACGCTCGTGAAATTTGGGGTGTTGAACCATCTTGGCAACGACTTCCTGCGCCTCATGAACCACGAGATATTTAAATTATAACTTTTCTCTTCTGGATAATTTACTTTGCTTATTATCAACAGTTTTCTAATTCTTTTTTTTTTTAACACATAAATAATATTCCTTTACTAACAAGCATGAGCAATATTACTATTTATTCATTTATTATTTTTACTGAGCGTAAAATATAAAAATATAATTATACACTTAAATCGCTCATGCTTTACTTGAAAAAACATATACTGCCTAAATTTCTTGAAAAACTTTATTGACTGTCAATGACTGATGAACTGTAATAATGATATAAAAGAGAAATTTATTATGACAAAAAATATTCTGGACAAACTTAACTTAAATGATGGATACATTTCTTAAAGAAAGAACAGATACAATCTAGTCGAAAAAGAGGTATGTAATAGCATCAAAAATAATTTTAGTCATATTTTTCTACTTGTAATTTACAATAACAATAAAATATAAAGAATTTATCAACTGTCTCAAATAATCAACAAATTTTGAGACAGAACGAGAAGAATGTACACTATCTTAAACTTTAAATCCATCATGAGATTATTATTAACATTTAATTATATATTTATAGTATGGAAATTAGTATCTGAGATACTAGTAGCTGAAGTTTATCGAGTATTTCAAAATATTTATAGTCAAATTTTGTGAGAATTATTATATTTAAAAAAAAGAAAAATGATTCTTGTTTATATATTTAATTCAATAAAACATATAAAAATATTGTAGCTCGTTTTTAATATCAAAATAACTGTACTTTGAAAAAAAATAAAATATTAAAGAAACAAAATTTTTTTTCGAACTGGAGTTGCTGGAACCACAAATTGTGTTTCTAAATACACGTCTTTGATTAAATCAATAAATATTTATTTGTAAATGCAGACGCAAACTGAAGAAAAATATCGCGTGCACAGAAGCGCGGCTTGAGAAGGCAATGTTCCAACATTCCAATAAATTATTTTTCTGAGTTTATTGACGAGAGCATGTCTGTACATCAAACTGAAATTTTTGTTCAAACAAAAGAGAACGCTCTACGTGAATTTTCGTTTATCGATGAAGAAACAGTGCCGTTAGTGAGTATATCGATCCGTAATATAAGAAATAAGTCATAGAAAACGTAAATGCAGATGTCTAACCTATCCTTTTCATTCAATCCAATATGTCATTTAACCTAATTGTTATTTGATTATTACAATGATCATTAAAGTTTCAATCAAGTTAAATTTGCATTGCAAAGCAAATTTAACTTAAAGCAATAAACAAGCAATGAATCCTTTGATCAATTAATGATCAATTACTTTTGTCAGTTTCATTTATCAGTTAGATCTATAAATAGATTATAATGTACAACACTGTGCAAACACGTGCTATATTTGCAGACAATGACTATGAATATTTGGATACATGCATTTACATACGTTTATACAAATATACAATTACAAATTATGCAAATATATATAACGATATGCACGAGTATAAAAGTATATAAAAGATAAAAATTGAAACACACATTATATGTATTTATTTATTCAAGTTTCTTTATCTGAATTTGAATTTAATAAAAATTCACGTTTTTTTTTAATTATGTCTAAATATAGAAACAAAAAATTACAAGATCAGATAAAATCGTGCAAACACAAGTGTAAGCAACTGAGAAATACAATAAGACTGTTTAATAACTACATACTTATATATTTACGTGGCATATGATTAGTATGATTATGATTAGCCTTGAATAAACTATATATGTAGTTTCGATCTCAATTTTCTGCGCAAGTCTTTACTAATTTTCTATGCTAGTTTCCAATAGAAAGTTGTATCTTTTTTTATAAAAAGAATATTTTTAGAAATTCTACAAAAAATTTGCATTTATGTTAATATCAAATGAAACGAGAATACCTTCAGGTTAGGTATTAAGAAATTATAAGGAAGCGATTTTCTTTCTTTAATCATATATTCTTCTTTGTTTAGATTCAAATAGTTACGAATGATTATGTTAAACTAAGAAAATGAAGATGAATACTTGCGCAAGTAATAAAATGATTCCCATGGCGACTAATGTCGAAGATTCGTATCCGGACTCTGACTAGTTTATATGTATAATTTCCCTCTATTTATTTTATATCATCTCATTTTCGATTTTTCTCTTCTCTCTTTTTTTTTATTTTCAAACTAATTACTACATCTCACCTCCGAATCTTTAATGACGTAGTATTAATAGTTTTGTAATAAAATTATTCGCAACTTGTAATCAAATTATTCGCAACTCAGAAACTACAAGAAAAGCACGAAAAACAAGAAGAATGATAATTGGCTTGGGATTACTATGTTGTAAGACAACAATAGACACGATCGGTATAATCACTGAATATTAATATCGAAAATCAGGAGATCGCTTTAAGGAATTGATGTTTTACGTTTTTTCTACATGGCAATCAAAAATCAAATTTATTGTGTTAGAAAGTTCATTTTAGTTGATATTACATATTTATATATTACATCCATGTATATGTTTATGTATATGTTTATGTTGTAATATTTATTTATTAATATTTATTATACTAATCCATATTAGTTATTTGACCCACACGCAAAATGATCAGGTAATGTTGATCTAATAAATATCATTCTCTTTGTATTCTATTTTATCACAACTTTTTTATTTTCTATTTTATCACAATTTTTTAATAAAATTCTAAATGTCGTATGTGTATATAACATTTTTTGTCTTATTTATGCTATAGAATGTTCTGACAGAATTTGATTAGAAAAAAAGTATATATGTTCAATATTAATCTTGAAATATTATATTTTTATATAATTGACTAAATGTAAGGACGCATTATATTCTAGAATGCTTCGAGACCAACTTCATTGCAACTTTTGAAACCAACATCGGCTATCGTGATTACAGGCTATATTCCACCCGATGCCTTGAGGTGATATTTTATCGTAAGAAAAATCTCATAATTGAAATGTTTCTAAATTTTATAAATCGTATTAAAAAAAAAAAAGAAATGAAACCAAAGGTGAAAATTACAATTTTACAATTATAAAAAATAAACATTACAGTATTATCACGTATTCGTTAAAATGTAATTATTATAGATTTTCAGTGAACTTATTATGCAAAATTGCTGGAAATATTGCATTGCATTTTAACGCGCGATTGGATAGGGGTTATGTGGTTCGAAATTCGAAATTTAAAGGATGTTGGGAAGAAGAAGAGACCTGTTCTCCTGTTGGACATACTGCTTTCCGACGAAACTCCTATGTTCATATCTTGATATTTTGCACTGCCAATGAATATCAAGTAAGGAACAAGGATTCTTAATATAACCATAAATTTAGTAGCTGTATTTATTCGAGATTCATTTTATTAGGTTGCCGTTAATGGAGAGCATTTTTGTGCATTTGCCTATAGAATGCCTCTTGAAGATGTAATATGTCTTGAAATAAATGGATCATTGGAAGACGTTAGATTTAGACAATTTGAATTATTCGTTTATCCTGATCCGAAGTTATGCAGACCAAGTAACATTTTAAGTCTAAAAATTGACCGACCGCTCGTTGAATTTCTTGTAGGTATTTTTCAAATTATCAACTTGTCTATTTTATTTATTCAAAAATTCATTATTATTAAATATTTGTCTATAGGATGTTCCAATTACGGTAGATATCGAAAACGAATTTAAAATAGGTGCGAGAATTTTCATTGCTGGGAGATTGAAACTTCTTCCTCATTCGTGAGTGTTTGTAACTATTTATTAGTTAAAATTAAATAAACTTACAAGGAGGAAAAAAGAAATAATGGGAAATAATTTGTTTCTATATTTGATAACAGGTTTTATGTAAATCTACAAAAAGGAAAGACAGTCTATCCACATCCAGTAATTACATTGCATTTAAATCCTCGTTTTTCATATGGCAGTAGCGCACCTTATGTTGTAATGAACTGTTGGACAAATGGGTCTTGGGGACGAGAAGAAAGACACTTGGGTCATTTGTCCTGGATGCCCGGTCGTGATTTTCTTTTGACGTAGGTTTTCCTGTTTTTGAAAAGAACTAAATATAACATGAATTAATATTAATTATTTTTCTTGAATTTGACTAATTTTTCTGTTGAATTCTTAATTAAAATCTTTTTTTTTCTTTTGTAGAATTCGATGCGAATTCGAAGCGTATACAATATGGTTAGGCGAAAAAATGATTGGTGAATTCAAGCACAGATTACAACCGTCTGTCATCGATACTCTTAAAATATCCGGAGACATCGTACTCCATGAACTAGCTATGACTTATTCAAGTTAAATAAATATGTGCATGGAACATTTCTATTATTTATTCTTCGTTTGAATAAAATAGCATTTATTTACGCTGTACTTTGTAAAGACATAGTATCAAATACATGTCTAATACATGTCTAATCAATGCAGTTTTGAGTAATAATAATATCAATAAGATTTATTATTAGTAATATTTATATAATGAAAAGTATAATATTGACAATAATATAATATTGATATAATATTGACAATAAAATTTTATTATTAATATACATTTTAAATATTTTCGATCTAAAGATAGAATTTTAAATAACATAATCATGGAATTTTATTTATTTATTGTCTGAAAAGTAGAGTTTTAGAATCTTTCAAAACTATTTAAACAGCTGCACATCACATAAAATAGCATTGGTTTTTATCTCATTTTTCTTTATTATTAACTTAAAATATATCAAATATTTGTTAATAAAAATTATAATTCAAGAACAATTAATTTTTTATACACGTTTACTATCTTTTATATATAATCATTCTGATAGGATATATTTTTTCATTAAAGTTTCCAATCATCGTATATATATTTTCAGACAAAAGTGAAAAAGCGCGAAAACATGACACAGGCATGAAGACTTTTCAATGAGATCGTTGGATGTTATACTAGTGGAGTAGAATTTTAAAATATAAATCTTATTAATATTTATGGTTATTGTATATGACAACACCTGAAATGATAATAAATATGAAACATAGTTTGAAATACTTAGAAAATTAACAGAACGGGAAGAAATAGAAATAAAACAAAGATAGAATTCTTTATGTTATTAAGGTTAGTTTATTTGGTTATCATATATTACAGAATTAATTATTTGTATTAATATTAATTAAATACTGTAAAATTAAATAAAAATCATTGTTATATTATTTGAATTATAGTACAATAAATTTCAAAAGAAATCATGTTCTTTTATAATAAATATAATTGTAATTAGAACATTCATTTATAATTAATACGACTATAATTAGCATAGTTTAATACTAAAATTAAAATTAATAATTTGTAAATAATCAGTTTTTTGATTTCAGAAATTTTTATATAATTTTTGTCCATTTTTCAATTTTTTAAATATTTATAAATGCTATTATGTCTGTATATGTACCAAGAGACTCATTGTATACTCCACGTAGAGTGCAAAAATGTTTATTTGGGTCAGATGAAAGTTCAAAAAAGAAGAAAATTCATAGAATTCAAAGAGATTCAAACTTTGCAGACAGCTCATCTGGAGAAGAATCAGATTTAGGACCCATGAACATTATGGAACATTCTCCACAGAAAGAAACATCAGCAGATTCACCAAAGTTTCTATTTGATTCTCCATTAAATAATTCTAATAAGCAGACATCAACTAAGGCAGTGCCCAATACACCAGAAAGACAATTTGGCAAAGAGTTGCAAAATGGTATTGTAGAAACCCCACATAAATCTAGAAGTCCAGAAAATAAATTAATAACACCATTAAATTCAGAAAATAAAATAATGTTCTTACCAAGACTTCATAGGCGCAAATCACTTAATATTCTTGATGCCATTGAAAATTCACCTGAGAAAAAAAAGACTAACTTAAAGAGACATGCTTTTGAAGAATTAGAAAATAGAGCTACAAAATCAGTAAAGACTGATGAAAATCATTTGGTACCAAAAGCTAGAGCTGCTCTATTTCAAGACAAAGATTATGAATCAAAACTCAAAAATATAACACTCAGTACTAAAAATTTTTATAGTAATTCTGAGACGAAGAAGAATTATAACATCATTTCTCGATTTATAGAACAAAAACAGAAAGCACATTTTATGAGACATGCGCCCTACCATAAAAGACACATTAAAGGACACAGAATAGAAGGAATTAATGCTGGTGTATCACATGGTATTAGGAAACCAAAATTAAAGACAAATGTTGATAGTATAAAGCATAATAATAGCACAGAAATGATTAATAATATAAAAGATATGAATATACAAAAAGATTTATCAAAAGACATAAGAGGAGAAGAAACGGAGTTAGTAAATTCATCATTAGAAATTTTATCACCAGAAATTGATCTTAATAAGCGTTTTTTCAAAATTAAAGGCTCAAGGAGAAATTCAGCTATATTTACAATAAATAATAATGTAAAATTAAAAATTGATTCAATTGGTAAAATGGCATTAAGTCAAAAGAATAATAGAGAAGTTTGTAAACGGCCAAAAACTGTAGATACTTCTTTTGATGCAACTGATTTGTTAGTAGATGAATCAGACTTGGAAACAACAATAGACAAAGAAAAAGTAGCTAATATATTAAAGATTTTAGAGAATGATTGGGCTGATGATGATTACGATACTATGGAAATACTAACTAATGAAACACACCAGCATATTTCACCACTAAAACCAGTAGCAATATTGAATGACGTTACTATGTCACCAGCAACTGAACTTAGTAATATGACCTCAACAATGAACATTAAGGACATTAGTTCACCAACACTTTACAAAAATATTTCTTTAGATAATAATGAAATTACATCAGAAGAAAAATATTACCCATTATTTGAAAAAGGATATTCTGCCAATAAAATTTTTAAGTAAGTAAAATATTTAAAATATGAATTAACTACTGAATTACTTCTAATAATATTATGAATCTCATAGTGCAATTAATAAAAGATCAATGCCTAATATGAAAGAAACTACAAATTGGCAACTATCCATGAAATTAAATGGTAGCGACAATCAATATCAACTGGATGCAGGTCAAAAGAATTTTGGAGCAACGCAATGTACAGAGTGTGGTATTGTATATCAAATTGGGGATCCAGAGGATGAAAATGCTCATTTAAATTATCATAATAATAAAAAAAGTTTAAAATTTCTCGTATGTAGAATTACGTGCCAATAATTCAACTAAATGTGTCTGACATTATACTTAAAGAATTTATTTTTTTTAGGGTTGGAAAACGGAACGTATAGTTATGGAAGATTCATTTACATCAAGTCGAGTAATTTTAGTAGAGCCAGGTGACTCAAAACTATATTGGAAAAAAGTAAAAGAAGTTTTAGAATACGTTGACAGAGATTTGGGATTAGTTAACACAAAATTATCGGATTATGAGGAGAAAAATGTAATGATAAAAATATATGAGAAAGCAATTGTTTTATGTTATGAATTTACATTTGTTGTAACATAATTTATTTTTTTCTTTTTAGGTATACTTATATATTAGGAATAAAGCTATTATAGGAGTGTTAGTCGCAGAACATATAACTACTGCACATCGCATGATTCCTGAATTATTAGAATTAGATTGCTGCGCAGCAGAAAATAGTCCTGCGAAATGCGGTATCAATGTTGTATGGACAGATTTAAATCATCGCAGACAAGGCATAGCCACTAAATTGATCGATATATTACGGTAAATATTTATATTAGGAATACAAGAATATTCTAGAAATAATAAAAAATATCATCAAAATTAATCGACATATTTTCAACTTTATTTCAGGACTCAATTTTATTTTGGTTATATAATGTCTATAGATGACATAGCGTTTTCAGTTCCAACTCCAAGTGGAAAAATATTTGCTGAGAAATATACTAAAACACGGAATTTTAAAGTTTATAATTGAAAATTAGTCATCAAAATACCATTTTTGATAAAATAAAAATTTATCAAAATTAATGACAATAGCATTCGTCTGTTACTGAATTTATGTACAAATGATAATATTGTCTCATCCTGTTGATACTTATTATATTGATTAATGAAGAACTTATTCTTTTTATTATCTTAATTATTTTTCGTTCAGTAAATTAATAATTCATTTATTTTAAAATTTTTTGTTACTAAAATTGCATTTTGTTTTTCTTTTAAGTTGATTATTCCTGAACGAAGTATTTAAATTTTTAAGTATTTTAGTATTATTTCTAGAATAGCTTTAAAAATTGAAAAATGTATATGAAAATAATTTTACCAAATGCATATTTCTAAATTTAATATTTTAACGTATGTAACAATTCAATTAACTTCAGAATTCTTCAGTTGTATGTACAGGAAAAAGTAATCAAATATATTTTATGTATAGTTCATATTTATATTTTATTTATATTCAAAATATAAACAATATGACTTTATAAAAATTGTTTTAAATTACTTTGAAATAATTTTTATATCAATGTATTTGTATTCCGTAGAAAAAAAATAAATACAACTTCATATTTAGATTACATTGTATGTAATCTATTACATATTGTAATGTGCAATAAATTGCAATGTGTAATTTATTATACACTGTATGTAAATTTTTATAACTTAACTTAGAATAGGAATATAAATTTGTGTATCATCTACCATCTTCTACCACCACCAATTCCTCTCCTTGGACGAGAAAAATGCTTTTCATTCGCTCGTTTCTGTTTCCATGCTTCATATCTTTCGGCCATCTGGTATAATTCATCAGGTACTTGCTATAAAGGCAGGAATTTATATATGTAAATTTATATACAAATAACCAAATTTTTGAACAAATACATAAATATACTAAAATTACTTGATTCGCCTCTTCTAAAATGTTAATTAGTTCTTTTGCATGGGACCAATCCTTTCGCGTCATGAAAGTTATACTTTCTCCTGTACGCCCTGCTCGTCCAGTACGTCCAACACGGTGAACGTATTCCTCAATATCACGAGGGAAGTCAAAATTCAAGACATGCCTAAAAATAAGTTGTTTTTTTTTAAATAAAATTTAAGGTTGGATCAAATTTTTAAAAATATAAAATCAGACATACGTAATGTCTTCAATGTCTATTCCTCTGCTAGCAACATCCGTCGCTAGTAGTATTTGAACTATACCCTGTTTCAAATCGTCTAGAGCTTGTTCTCTGTCACTTTGTTCCCGTCCACCGTGTATACTTTGAACATCAACTAATTGTAATGCCAAGTTACTCGCTACGTCGTCAACCTTAACTTTCTTTCCGAAAAATACTATTACTTTATCAGTAGGACTCATATTGCGGAAAAATTGATACATCTATTAAAAACGAAAAAAATAGTAAAGGAATAGTAATAGAAAAAAATATTTAAGTTTTAAAGCATAATTCGAATAATTTCTCATTATATTAACCATATCAGTTTTTTCCTCTTCTTCAATAATATAAACTGTCTGTGTTACTGTATGCACCGTAGCTAGATCAAGAGATCCAACAAATACTTGAATTGGATTCTTCATATACGATTGTGCTAAACGTCGTACACCTTGAGGCCATGTAGCACTAAAATATAAACACATTTTTAGTTTTAGCTGTAAAATATACTATAAAATATTTAAGTATAAAATATTTTTCAATATAAAAAAAATATTGAAAGTTTAATAAAAATTTAATGTACCTTGTCATGACTGTTTGTCTATCTGGTCTTACATCTAATAAAGTTTTTCTTATCTGGGGTTCAAATCCCATATCTAACATACGATCAGCTTCATCCAAGACAAGATACGTAACAGAAGAAACATTTAAAACCTTCGCATGTACAAGATCATTCATTCTACCAGGTGTTGCAATAACTATTTCTACACCCTCTGTTACCACATCGACTTGTTTCTTGCGACTTCCACCTCCATATACACATACCCTTTAATAATAAATTATTTACAGATACATCTTCCCATTTGTTTCAAAATAAAAATACATAGATTTTACTTACGCCTTTATTCCATGATAAGAATATTTATTTACTTCCTTTTCAATTTGTAACGCCAGTTCTCTCGTAGGTGCCATAACAAGAACATTAGGACCTTTTCGTTCTGATCTAGGTGTCAGTTGACCCTCAATATGAATCAATGCTGGCAGTAGAAATGCTAAAGTTTTCCCTAAACACAATATTTAAAAAAATAATTTATCTTATAAACATTATATTAACATTATAATATATAACATACCTGTGCCGGTTTGGGCAATTCCAATAAGATCTCTACCACTAAGAAGTATAGGCCAAGCTTGACACTGTATTGGACTTGGTTTAGTAAAGTTTTGTTTTCTAATTTCCTCTAATACTTCTGGGTAATCCTATAACATTTTCAACTTACATTGTAATACATGTTTTCTTCATAAATTCAAATATTTTTACTTACACCAAAGGCTTGTTCAAACGCCTCTATAGGATTTGGTATATGTCCACAACCATTCTCCTCCTTGTCTTCAAACACATATTTTACTTCTATATTATTGTTTATTTGACGAATATGAGCAACTTGCTCTGGTGTCAAATTAGCAACTGTCGGATCTTCTTTATAAAAATTCTTAATTATAGGAGTAGCCTTTGCCCATTTTTGTTTTTCATATTCAAGCTAATTAATGAAGTAATTTATATATATTATAATTATATTAAATTATTACATATAATTATAATTGTTAAAATGTTTTTGTAAGGTCATAAAAACTTACAGCTTTCTTGTGAGCTAGAGTCCAATTAAAGTTAGTAAAATCAATTTCTGGTTCATCATTTTTGTCTTCTTGTTCAACTTTTAAATCTTGAAGTGATTCTGTTAAAATAACAGGAGTTTCTTTCAATAACTCGTCTATTAACGTTTTTGCTTGATTCTGTGCTTCCTTAGTGCCAATTATAGTTACGTCTGTAGAGTAACTTCCAGTAGAACGGCTTACCTAAAATATTTATATCATTAAATTGAGTTAAATTGTTTTTTTGAAATTTTTCGAAATCTTATTAATCGCTGAAATATAATTTATAAGATAAAAATTATATTTTATGAAGTACCATTACTGTTACGTTAATCAAACAAAAATGATATCTATTTTAGTATAACATATATATAAAAATATAATATATATATATATATAAAAGTATAACTAATATATATAATTCTTAATGTTCAAAGTACCAAAAATATATTTGAAAAATTATTTTCGTTAAGTAAATTTTACTACGAATTTATTTTTCTATCATGAAATTAATTTTTAATTTTTTTTCTCAAATGAGTTTTAACATTATTTAAAATATGAATTTGATAAATACTTACGTGTATTCTTGTCTTTGTCTTATCTTGCAAATCTTTAATATTAATACCAGATTTGCCTATTAATTTTCCGATTTTTTCAGAATCCACCTGTATTATAGATTTTTCTTGTTTATATTCGATATTATTATGATTAGAATGACCATTTCTTCTCGTGAAACTATGATAGCTAGTCCGATACTCCATTTTGAATTGAATTCCACGTGGAGAAGTATGCCATCCCTAAAATTTCACAAATTATTTTTCCGTGTACTCACTTTATTATAGCTTAAAATAATATTTAAAGAATGATTTTAATATTAATAAATAATTATACGTTTTATGTGTATATTTTTACTATTAGAAACGATTAATTTTTCAATATGAAAGTAAAACTATCTTTCCAACAAATAAAGATATATATATGCACTTCTTCGGAAGACTGCTCGTAACAGAATGAAAATTCGTTTCTTAGTTTCCTATTTAAATAAGGGATGAGTAGTCAGTGATTCTGCGCAGAAGAGCTACAAGAAGGGTCCCTCCCGTGACTCTGGAGAATTTTGTCCAACCATTGGTTACTGCTACATGCATGCTATACATATACATATCTAAAAGGGCAACAAATCCCTACTTATAATTATAACTGACGCTATTGTCTATGCATGTAGTGGTAACTAGGCTGCTTATGATTGGAGGATTGGTGCAGCTCTTGAAGGAAAAGTAGTGGGGAACTGCTTAATTCCTGTTTTAAATAATTTATAACAGTATACAATAATATTTTGTTTTGTCGTCACATTCCCGTTATTTTAAAACCTCACTATTTCATATCGAATATTCCTATTTCATTTATGCTTAGCAAAAGAGGCGCGAAGGAGAGGGGAGAAACTTGGGATTCCTTAGAATTGTTCCCCTAGAAAATTCATGTTTGGTATAATCTATCAAATGATCAGGTAATACATTTAACGGCCATTATGTTTTTCAAGTAGAATTTATGTATGCTATTATTAGTAACTCCAAGGAAAGGAGTTACTAATATTTGATTCAGTTCATATTTGTTCAGTAATTTTATATTTGATTTAGTTAATAATAATAGATGATATAGTGCATATTTAAAATTAAACTTTTCAAATTCCTGCCCTTGTCTTAGAAATTATTGATTTTGAAATTTAAGATCTCTGTTGACGATCAACAAATTATATTACTTGAGTTAGTATTTTAAGAAAAAGAAAGAATGTATGTTTTTAATACATTTTGCTTTTCAATATTTATTTACTATTAATCATTAGATAAATTTTTTGTATCTTATGATTCTTTCATTTAATAACATTAAGTTTTTAAAATTGGTGAGAAATTTTTGATATTTCCACGCCAAACAAATATATTTCATTTTCGTTCAATTGTGCTATTATATATTTGATGTGAAAATGTGTCATTAGAAATATGCAAATTCTACATGTATTAATCATATTTTACTTGTGAACAAAACAGACTTCCGTTAGGTTACGTTTACAGCGGAATAATACGATATTCCATCAGAGAGATTAGAAATTTGTCCTGTTTGGAAGTGAAAACGATGTATAAACCTACGACAATGATACAAGCGCTGTGGATTTCTTCGCTTTGTTATCGCTGTGGAGACTTCGGAATGCTTTTTCTATAAAATTTTCATAAAATTTTGTACTGATTTCTGTACTGATTCACGTGTACAATATTTGAGTTGGATATTCTTGGATACTTAAAAGATATATCTGGAGGATATATCTGAAGAGTATAGCTGGAAATTTTACTCTAATAGATGCTCTCTCAGCTTTAATTGCAGCTCTATTATAAACACACCAAAGGTATTTTAACGCCGCCTTGATCGACACTTTCTTAACTACTATCGTAGTTCCGCTGTTTCTGCGGATATATTGTCTTTTATTTTAAGAAAACATGAAAAATTAAATTTATTAAATTTTTCCAAATTCTTTTTTTCTTATGATACCGCAAACGAGATTAAATGAACGAACGTTGCATCTTGTGGGATCTGACATCAAATGTTGTGAAGTACCGACATAGTAAAAAGTTGTTTAACGTACTTTACGTTTGAAGAGCAAACAATCGGGAAAATAGACCAAGTAAATCAATTGAAGTTGACCGTGAATACACTAGAAACATGATATTTCTATTTATTGTCAAATTTCCAGTGCCGAAACGTGAGACTAGTAACTGAAATCAGTCTACTGCGTATTAAAAGTATCCATATTCACGATGATTTTTGGCACGTAATGCATTAAAATTCTAAAGCTATTAGTACATATGACGTGGTTTTTAATATAAATGATCTCTATTTCATACATTATTGAAAACAATGTTTAATTAACTAAAAATTATTTAAAATTAGAATTTTAAAATTATTTTGTATACAGGTTTAAATCAATTGATCATGTCGTCACAATATTTATGTTTCTTATTTACTTACATTATATAAATAAGTTGTTAAAGTTTTGACTATTTTATCATAGTTAATACACTGACTATGACAAATTGTATACATATGTAAATTCTATTATTCATCAACTAAGAATTACGCTTGTATTTTCTCATAATGAAAATATTAAGTGCTGTAAAACTTTTGTTGGATTTCAGGAGGACACAAATTTATTTTATCCAAATATTTCATCTATTACCAATTATTGTTGTATATAGAACTCAATGAGAACATTTCTGTATTTTTATAAGTATTTATAATTCATAAGGACAAAGGGCAAGAGATGTGAGTCCTCACAATGAATCTTATCATAATTTTTATACCCTGACTATGCAATTTAATCAGCTGTTTGTTAGAGTTCTATTAGGTAAGCTAACCATGTAAGCAGATAGTCATCCGATATTTTATTAATATTATCAGATACGTATTAGTATCACGATAGTAAAAAAATTTCATTGTTTATTTAACATAAATTAAAAGCACCAATTTCATGAAAATTCCATTAGAAATACATATCTTGGTATATATATCATATTAAGAGTTTATTTGAGTCATAAATGTTGCTTAGGGATGCACGGACAATAAATTTTTATTTAATTAACCGCTATACAACTAAATATAAAGCTATTTATTATTTGAGAGTTTAAATGAAACGTGGTGGAAGCTGAAATAATTATATTTGTGATTAGTCACAAATTTTAGATTTTTGTGAAATTGGGCTCAGTCATTTAAAGTACTGTGTACGCAGAGTTATATACTGTATCGAAAGTTATATTAAGTTATTAATATCTCGGAGATCAATAAATATTTGGAAATTTTATATTTAGGATTGCCCTTGTCCCCCTCCAAATTTTAGTACTAAGTAGTTCTTTTCGGAACCAAGGTCATTTCTTTCTCTACCAAATAGAACATAACCAACATAGAAAAAATGATGCGTATCGCGGCTAAAAACAATTATGAAGGTACAAGAGATAAATCTTAAAAGCAGCAACTCATCACATAAGCATCATTTGTTATTCGATCGGTTATCGTATCGTCTTTGTTTTTGCTTCTGAACGTTCTAAAATCGCGTGATGAGTCTAAATGGTTCTATACAGCGAAAAAAAACAAATGAGAAACAATGTGAAATGATTAATTCTATTACTTGAAGTGATTAATTTTATTACTTTCTTAATAATTCTTAATAATATTTATGAGAATGTCTAAATATTTATGGGAGTTGTAAAGTACACTATATACAAGCATTTCACTTTTTTTTTTAATTCAAAAAGGTTTAATGTACAATTTTAATAGCATTTTTTATATCGAATTCCAATGTTCTTGAAAAATTGATTTGATCCAAGGGTGGATATGAGGAAACAAATTACACGTTTGTATTCGGCGTCGAAAAATACATACGAATCAGTGTATATATATATATTATTATGAATATTTATAATCAGCGTATATATTATCTTCCATGAAATAAATCATGTAATCCATCATGTAAATCCATCATGTAAATCGAACTATAGACAGAAAAAGAAAAAGGACTTTCGAGTTGTTAAAATTTTTTTTCGAGTTAAGAAAGTTTTATTTCGTATTCCGTCGAGGACGTCCGACTAGAAAGTTACTAGAAAATGTGTTTCTTAGAAAATCTTTTGCAAAGGGAAACCCTTCTTAAAAGCTGACCATGATTTATTGATGGTACAACGTCGAGGTTCCTGGCCTGCACTGACCTACGCGTAAACAATAACTCAAGGCCATCGACAAGTACGCCGAAAATTAAGCGTTTATATTTTGTATATACCGTGTATTCATCCTAGCACGACGAATACCCAGATCATTTGACCTGGCTATTCTATTCCTTCCTGATTAAACATATTTCGTTTTACATACAGCAATCATAGAAAATATTTTCCTAACTAAATTCACCATCCTCTTGAAGATTGATGTTTTCCAGTAAACCATTAAAATTTGTTATAACGTGATTTTAACGAAACTTACGTTGTAAATTTCGACAATTTTTTTTTATCTAATATTATTACCATGTAATATGAATACTTTCATGTACAATGGCTAGTAAAAATATTCGGACGCTTAAACGAACGAAATATGTATATTTTGAATTTAAAACGATACGGCGTATATAACAGAGATGGAATATCTAAATATGTCAACAAAATTTGAAAGTGACTCATTAACTTAGGCTATAATACGTATAATAAATTTATTACATACATACATATCATTAGTAGCTCACAAAAGTAGTCGAATGCTGTAACATCTTTGATTCTTTTTATACATTTTAACAGATTTTACCAAGAATGCGAACGTTGACATTAAATGGAAGCATCATCTTCAGTTGATATCAAGGTATCGTTCTACTAACAACAACGTAATATTGTGCAGTATAATATTCAAAATGAATACGAGATAGTCAGAAGTATGAATGAGAAACGATTCTTCGGCTGCATAAGAATAGGAAATTATACAACAAGATTACAAAACATTTTTAACAGAAGCAAATCCGCGGTATATCATGAGAAAATTGAAAACAAGGAACAATTGTGTACAAAGCTCGCTTAAGAAGAAAATTGACTGAAGGAGAAGAAAAAATTATCATTTACGAAATGGAAAAAGGAGATTAATAAGCAAAATCAAAAAAAGAAACTAACTTTTGCAAAAACGTACGTAACTAAAGATAATATTTTTTGCGACAAAATAATATTTTCCGGTGAATCTAAATTTAATATTTTCAGTTCACATGATCAATATTATACATGGGAAAGAACAAATACAGAAGTAAGGATTCAAAATGTACATTCAACAGTAAAATTCATAGTGTGGAGTTGCATGGCATCGACAAATTTCTACTAGATTTTTAGGTTAAAATTGGCAAAAGATGTCTTTTCAGAGAATTCTATCTATGAAGCAAATGTTTAAAGAAAAGTACAGACGCTGAAATTTTATATTTCTTGCTGCGTCTGTACTTTTACAAAATTACTGATAAGCAGTAACTACACAAATAGTTTGGTCAACGACCAAATGTCGGGTTTCAAAGAAATCCAGGCCAAATGTTTGTACAGGCCAAAAAGAGACCTAAGAGGATTTCTAAAATTTCAAAAGCAGCTACGACCTGTGCTCCTATCATAAATCACTCTCACTGTTGGCCTTTGCAGATACACTACCCTTAACCACTGAAAAAAAAGTAACATTTTTTTTTCATTTTAAACGAAAATTCCAAATATTTTTGAAGTATATAAATTTTTTTTTAATCAAAATATCATAAGATAATTATTTATTAGCTTCACAAATAATTTCAATTGTTAGCTACCATCGCTATAAAGGACTGGTTCATCTGAATTAAAAATTTTTTATTAATTTACGAATAGAAATATATTATATGAAACATAATGCTTTTTTTCGATATCTTCATTATTTAATGATTTACAATCATCTAAAGTTTTATTTTTATTATTATTTATTATTCCTGAAGCAGGGAAACTATTGTATCGCCATTGTTGCGTATACAAAATCATGTAAACGACTACGGCAACGTCGCTTTCTAACGAATGCACATTGCTACGATAGTCTGATGATGATTCCTTGTAGACGATAATACGTTATCTGACATTGGTTGCGACAGTGAAACGTATGATAATTATCATTTTATCGTGTACGTGTCGGTAGTCCAATAAAAAATTAAATAATGTTATAACATTCAAATATATTTGTAAGTCACGTGTATATAAATGTTTATATATGTAGTTTATATATCCCTAAGTTAGCAAATCATTTTCAAATATTGTTTACATAATCTTGAGTTTCCTTCTACTATACATAGCGCATTATTTTAAATAAATTTGTTTAATATACATATTTCATTCATTAAAAGTTGCAAATCTGAGCGTTCGAATATTTTCGTTAGCTACTGTATAAAACTTGAATTAAGATCTCAAATATTAATTTTTTCAATATTATGCTTCAATAT